TCCTCCCTTTAAAACATAACTTTCATCCTGTTATTTTCCTATAAGAGCTTTGATGTATCCTCATTTCCTACCAAGTCCAGTCTGAAATTCTCATCAGCACTGCATTCAAGTCTTTCTATGCTTCATTCCCATGACAACCCTTCTTCAAGCCAATACATCAGTCAAATTGAACCAGTGAGGTTTTCCTCTGTCTGTTTTACCCCCATCAACCTTATCTTTGCTAACTGGGGTCACTCCTGGTATTGCCTGCCTCACCATCTCTATGAGTTCAACTCCTAATCATTCTTCAAGTCCAATGAAAAGATTACCTCCTCTATTATCATCTAACCATCCCCAACCCTGTCCTCTATCATGCCCTCTCTACCAGCTCCTACCCCGGATCAATAATCATCTCTTCTTCCGTGGAATTCCCAGAGTATTTCTCTTTTTGCAAGATATCACTTTCTGCCTTATGCTTATATTTTTTAAAAGCATGTATTATTTTTCATATGTCTGTTTCCCTAAATATATTATAAGCTTAATAAAGGGCAAGGGTTGAATTCTTGCTCATCTTTAGATCCCCTATGGTGTCTCATAATATTTACATTTAAGCTCCATTACTAGTTTCTGCTAATAATGAACTATGTGACTTTGAGTAAGTAATTAAACATGTTTGAGTCAATTTACTCATAAATTAAAAACATGTTCTAATTCAACAGTCTTAATTTGAGATAGTTTAAATTATATATTCCTGGGTTTGCACAAGAAAACTTGAAAACACATACCAAAATTAAAATTTCTGTATAACCTTTACAAAACCTAAAACTACGGTTGCAAGAGCTGTTTCTGCTAACAAACTCCTGCAGTTGTGTTTTCCCAGCTTATTTGGATTAATATAGAATGAGGTGGCTATTCCCATTCTGGCTATCACTGCTATCTCAAGTATCAGAGACATAATCTGCTTCCCAACTTTTAATTAGCGTAGGATTATTTTTGTGTGTTTGGAAGGAATCATTCAACCATTTATTCCATGAATACTTATTAAGTGTCTATTAACCAGGCATTTTTCCAGGTGATGGGCTCTCACATTTAGTGAATGGAAGAGGGGAGAGGAGAAAAGCTGGTGACATTAAGGAAGATTTTTCTTTTCTTTTTTTTTTTTTTTAATGTTTATTTATTTTTGAGACAGAGAGAGACAGAGCATGAATGGGGGAGGGTCAGAGAGAGAGGGAGACACAGAATCGGAAGGAGGCTCTGGGCTCTGAGCTGTCAGCACAGAGCCCGACGCGGGGCTCAAACTCACGGACCGCGAGATCGTGACCTGAGCCGAAGTCGGAAGCTCAACCGACTGAGCCACCCAGGCGCCCCAAGGAAGATTTTTCTTACTTTTAATTGTTTTATACAATCTGTCTCTCCAATTAGTAGATCAGGAAGGTTTTAGACCACCTAGGTTATTCTAAGACTCAAGGAAACTCTCCCATGGTTGATGCTTCCTAAAAGGAAAAGAAAAATGCCTATTTTTTTTCATTTGTCCAGATAATGTAGGGAGTGAGTGCAAAGTGCTTCCACTCAATCCTTCTAAAGATAATACACTGGAAACATTTTGGTGGGTGTGAATCACTCAGACAAGCATTCTTCACTCAAAAATAGAAACTAACTTTATTTGTTCCAGATGTTATACAGCTGCAGGGAAGTTAAAGCCAGTGGTCCTGTTTTCAATGCAACCAAACTCTTATTGCATTTGGAATTTCTTAACCAATGAACTCATATTACTTGTTCTAAGATCTGCACAATTTTCTTTTTTCCACTGTTACCGTTCACAAACAACTATGTTTCGTGGGAACCACTTTTCAGAATTAATGAGTCTACATCTGTCTTGTGCAAAGACATCCTGTTTATCACAATTTCCACCTTTCATTTATCTTGACCTTTAAAAATTTTAAGCATAAAATATTGCAAAGAGATCATCTGAAGGAAAGGAAAAGGAGAGTTGAGTTGTATTGTTCTTACAATATTTTAGAGCACATTTTGGAGTTATAAGTTATGGTGTTTATTTTAGCAAGAATTTCAAATAAAATTATTCATAACAATGTTGAGTATAAAAATGCATCTTATCATTGTGCATTTGTAATTTAAAAAAACTTGACAACTTATTTTTTGATTCTCCTGTAGGCGTGTCTACAACAGATACTGTATGGGTGCACGTAGGAGAGGTACATGATAATTTCATATCTAATCCATAAAAATCAAAATATATTTGAGAACGCTTATGTTTGAAAACAGGAGTGCTAGATCTCTTGAGATTATTGTCTTTTTATGGAGAAGCTTTTCTCAAATTGTGGTTCATAGATCATCTGTAGCAGAATCTCACTGGCTGCCTGTGAAAATATGTATGTCTGGGACCAGTGGAGTCAGGATCTCCAAGAACTGGGGCTGTAGAAGGACCCTAGAGATCAGGGAACAGCAACAACAACACTCACATGTTCCATTATGAACTAGAAAACCCTGTGAAGTTAAGTGAATTTCTCAAGGTCAGTCAGTCAGTTAACAGTAAAGTAAGGCATAGAATTTTGCTTAATGATGCTGAAACCAGCATTCTTTTCCAGTAGGTCATCTATTAATTTTTATCTTCAAAGAGATAAAATCAATATAAAAATTAAATACATATAAGTATCTAAATATTATCAGGTGTCCCACCAATAATTTTTTTATAATTAATTCTTTTAGTAATTCCTTCTTCTCATCACTAATTAACTAAACCCTTGTTCTTTCTCCAGGATTTGGAAATACCTTTCCTTCAGACTCATCATGAATCTTTTGAATTATAGTCAAATTATAATCAAAACCTTCCTCCCCCAAAGAGGAAAATGTTATATTTCATGTATTGCTGACTAAATCTTTGAAGTATCATGATTAATTATTTAGGAAATGAGTGTTTTAGTTAAGTTACTTAAACCATGTTCAAATAACAATTTGTATTCAATAATGATTCCTCAAAGACTATAAAAACTATAATTCATGACATACATTCTTGAAGTATATATATGTTGTTAGTTAAAACAGAGCCTTAAAGCTTAAAGTAGTTTAAGTGTGATATCATTCAAAACTGATTCAAAAATTTACTTCACACATCTTAATGAAGCTGTGAATAATTTTATATCTTTAGCCCTCTTAAAGTCTCTGCAGATGTAATTTATTAAGTTTCCTGTACTTTGCCTCAATTTTGACACTCATTTGTGATAAGGAAAGGGGCACCACTAGAGAGAAGATGTGTTGGTATTCATAAATTCATACTAAATATGGCCCCAATGATTTTCAAGTTCAGTCCTTCATTTTACTAATGAGAAACCTGAGACCAAAGGGGAAAAGAAAAAAAGGAGTAGTGTTCTTTTTTTTTTTTTTTTTTTTTTTTTTTTTTTTTTTTTTTTTTTTACTTTTATTTATTTAAGTAATTCCTACATCCCATGTGGGGTCTGGACTCACACCCCGAAGATCAAATGTTTTATGCTCCTCCTATTGAGACAGCCAGGCACCACAAGAGAAGTGTTCTCTTGAAGGAGATAGTGTTGTGTCAGAAATGCTAGCTGTCTACCCAAACCTCTTTTCTCCCTTTTCCAGAACTTCTGATTTCAGCTAAGTGTTTGACCACCCGAATAAAGATTCCATTTCCCAGCCTTCCATGCAGATAGATATGGCCATGTGACTAAGCTCTTGCCATGGAACATAAGTGACCCTTTGTGAAGTAGCTTTTGGAAAACTTCCTTAAAAGGTACTGTGGGGGTGGGGGGGGGGAAAGGGGGATGTCCTTTGTACCTTTAAACTCCTTCCATGAATTCTGTCTGGGATGTGGTTGTTTTGGCTGGATTTCTGTTTTGGCCCATGAGGATGAGGTCCACCTTTGCCTATAGACTGTGGAGCTGCCATTTTAGATTTGGAGTCACACTATCTAGACTCACACTTAAGAGAGAAAGAAGCTTCTATTCTGTTTAAGTCACTGTGTTGGGGTTTCTCATATTTGGAGCTATATCTGATTGCAGACAACAATCCATTTCTTACTACAAAATTTCATTTATTCATTCTTTGAGCAACTTTTTTTAGCATTCTTTGAGTTATTGGGCAATTTTTATGAGCAAGAAATTACACTAAGTAGATATGAAACAAAAATCATTTTGTTTTTTCAATTTTAAATTTCTAAGAAGTCTTGGAAAAGTTTTTAGAACCAGACTCCCACTTTCCTTTGGTCCATCCTTGCCCTTATCCTAGGCATATCATACAATTCCTATTTCTTTCACTATGCAGGATTATTTTTCTTGACTTGGATTTTAGACTGATGCTGTCATGTGAATAACATGTTTTCCAGAAGTTACAAACAAAATGCCTAAGCAACTCAAGCACAAATGACTTTAAGTTTTAACCTTCACCTCCGAACATATGACAAGCCATGATTAAAAGTCATGATGCAAACAGTCTTTGAAAATATATAAATATTTGTCCTTGAACAAGTTCAAAATACCATGGGACATGTCTTTAGAATATTCAAATAAAATATATTTTCTAAGTTACCACTTAGAAATACACTAAGGGCAATACTGTTTTCAGTGTCAGTCACATACAAAAAGGGACGTTAAAATTCTGGGAACATTTGTGAGGTGAGAGTCTCCCTTCTGTAAATGATTCATCTATCCATTTAGAGCAAAAAGTACTAGACATCCCCAGGATCAGAACACACAAATGCATTGCTCACTGGCTCCCTGATCTAATTTTGCTGGTAGGCACAAAGAAGCATTCTCACTTGTGAGTTCTATTTAAATTCTCTCAAACCCTTCCTTATTGATTTTCGAAAATTTATTGAATTTGAAGGTTTTTTTTTTCTTTAAGAATAATGCATGCTCTACATTTCAACACAGTCTTTTATTTCTAGATTCAAATACTGAAGAATGTCAAATATTTAATAGATTTTTTAATAATGGAAGAAATGCAACAAAATTTGGAGAGATATATAAATGTAAAAGCAGTCTTACCTTTGGATCCACATTGAGAATTTTTCTGTCTCTTTTGTATTTGAAAAGTAAGCCTTCTAGATTATCAGCAATCACTTGATAATTGGGAGTTGAATTCCAAACAGCAATATGACTGTCCCAGTTGTAAAAGCTAGAAAAATAAATATCTATTAGAAATGTATATGTATGATACAATAAATTGACAAATATATTTGAGAAAATATTTGAGGCAATTCAGTTTCAAGATAAATGAACTGGATCATAGTTTGCATAGCCATGGAAAACACATGTGTCATCAAAATTCTTGCAGAAGAGGGGGGCCTGGTAGCTCAGTTGGTTAAGCATCTGACTCTTGATCTTGGCTCAGGCTATGTTCTCACAGTTTGTGGGATTGAGCCCCACATTGGGCTCTGCACTGACAGTGTGGAGCCTGCCTAGGATTCTCTCTTCCTCTCCCTCTGCCCCTCCCCTGCTTACACTCTCTCAAAAATAAATAAATTAAAAAGATAAAATTCTTGCAGAAAAGATTAGGCTGGGCTATTCTCAAATTATTTGAATACATATTTATGACTATTTTGTATAATATCCTCATTTGGACACTCTAGGCATTAGGTTCCTATTCCAGTATTATATTCCCTAGGAAGTCATGGAGAAAATTGACGCATTCTGAATCTACGTCTTCCAGCTCAGATTCTTCAGGGTCTTAAGAGTATTCAGGGTATTAAGAGACTGTTTACTGGAAGGAAAGGCAGGCTAAGTCACCTCTTTTCATTCAAAACAAATTAATTCATTTCTTTCAGGCTTTATTTTTTAATAATATGTTTCCCAGGGAGCGAGGAAACTCTGCGAGTTTGAGAGGTTACCATAGGCCAGACATGATGTGATGTATTCTATCATAACACCCATATGAAGCTGCTCTCATTTCACAGACAAGGCAAATAGACTAGGAGGTCAGCTGGCATGGCTGAAGCCCTGTAACGAATACATCATAGGACTAATATTTCAACCCAGATCTGTGTTTCAAAGCACATGTGTGTTCTTTCTACTGCTCAACATTGCATACATTTTATCCTATTCCTATTTTTTGTGCTTGATCTATGGAAACCTCCCACTTTTTTGTGTGTGTCTTGCTTTATACCTATTTGTCAAAAATTAATATGTTACTTAAGATGAGTTGTAAGAATTCTCAATATATTAATTTCACAGATCTTATTCCTATTAACACAATTCTAACAGTATGTTAGTATGTTCAAATGTTAACATGTTTCTCATATGTCTAATATTATCCTGTATCTGTGTTGTTTTGCCCTTTATTATTCCCTTTACTCATTGATTAAACGCACTCTGAATGAGTGTTTTCTGAGGCATTAATTTTTGTGCTATCACCTGAAAATGTAATGTTTACCCTCAAATTTTTCACTACTTAGAAAGGACTCACTACATCGATCATATATTTATATGATTGAGTGCATATTAATTAGAACCATTTTCTCTCTTCCCCTACTACTTTTTCTATGGCCAACACACAGGAATGCCTGCCCTTTCTGAAGCACAGAGTTAGGAAAAGTGGTTTTCTTTTTTTTTTTAATTTTTTTTTTCCCAACGTTTATTTTTGGGACAGAGAGAGACAGAGCATGAACGGTGGAGGGGCAGAGAGAGAGGGAGACACAGAATCGGAAACAGGCTCCAGGCTCTGAGCCATCAGCCCAGAGCCCAACGCGGGGCTCGAACTCACGGACCGCGAGATCGTGACCTGGCTGAAGTCGGACGCTTAACCTACTGCGCCACCCAGGCGCCCCAGGAAAAGTGGTTTTCTAACTATCTTTGTCTGCTCAGTCTGTTCTCCCCAAGAGAGCAAGAATGACTATTTGATTGGTAAATAGAGGAAAGATGCTGAGTATCCATGACTTTCTACATCCTTACTTTACCTACCCTTCAAAAGTGAAGTTTATCATGGCAGGCTCAGCCCTCAATAGGTTGATATTAAGGTATAGGCCTACAGCACTGGTGATAAATTCAATACAGTGGTGAAGGTATTAGGAGCCAATCTGACTATGCACCCAGGCTATATTCTCAAATTCTGTTTAATCCATAATTAAGATAATTTGACCTCCACCTAACTGGCTATTCAGTTAAAAGATTGCTAAATTGTTAAGCCTCCAACTCTTACTTTCAGCTGAGGTCATGATCTCACGGTTATCACATATTGAAAAGAAGAATTTCCTTCTTTTTTAAGGCTGCATAAATATTCCATTGTATGTATAGACCACATTTTCTTTAAAAAAAATTTTTTTTAATGCTTTATTTATTTTTGAGACAGAGAGAGACAGAGAGAGACAGAGTGTGAGCAGGGGAGGGGCAGAGAGAGAGCAAGACACAGAATCCGAAGCAGGCTCCAGGCTCTGAGCTGTCAGCACAGAGCCCGACGCAGGGCTCGAACTCACAAAACGGAGATCATGACCTGAGCTGAAGTCGGACGCTTAACTGACTGAGCCACCCAGGTGCACTTACATTTTCTTTATACATTGATCTGTGCATATACATTTAGGAAGTTGCCACATCTTTGAATAGTTTCTTTTGGACTGCATATAGTTGAGTTTTTGTTTGTTTGTTTGTTTGTTTTTGTTTTTAGATGCATTCAGCCACTCTGTGTCTTTTTACTGACATTTTAATCCATTTACACTTAAATTATCAATAGGAAAAAATTACTTGTGTCATTTTATTAATTGTTTTCTGATGGTCTTAGAGTCTTTTGCCTGTCTTCTCTCTTGCTGTCTTCCTTTGCATTTTCTTGATTTTTTTTATTGATGTGGTTTGAATACCTTTTTTTTCCCTTTTGTGTATCTTCTATAAGTATTATTTTGTAGTTACCTTGGGGTTCACATAATATCTTATAGTTGTAATAGTCAATTTTAAACTGATAATAACTTAAGTTCAATCACATACATAAAATCTACATTTTAACCTCTCCCCTTCATGAACTTTGTATTATTGTTGTCATGGTTTACACCTATTCATAATGTGTTATCTTTTAATGTTATTTTTAGTTCTATTTTAACTTTTAACTTTTATAGTAGAATTAGGAGTGATTTGCCCACTACCATGACAGTAGTATAGTACTCTGTATTTGTTTATGTATTACATAAAGTAGTTTCCTACTTTCTCATGCTTTCGTATTTTGTTTAGCATCCTTTCATTTCAACCCGAAGGACTCCCTTTAGCATTTCTTGTAAGCAGAGTGATGAACTCTCTCAGCTTTTCTCTGTCTGGATAAATCTTTGTCTTCCTTCATTTTGAATGACAGATTTTCTGAGTATGCTTTACTAGGTAGCTTTTTTATTTCCTTTCAGCACTGTGAATATATCTTCCCACTCCCTTCTGGCCTACGGGGCTTCTGCTGAAAATGTGCTGATTGTTTATGGGAAAGGGGGTTTCTTGGAGGTGACAAGTCATGTTTCTCTTGCTTCTTTCGAAATTCTCTTTGACTTTTGACGATCTGATTATAATGTGTCTTGATATGGATTTATTTGGATTTCTCTAATTGGCCTTCTTTCAGCTTTTTGGATCTGGATGTCCATTTTCTTCCCCAGATTTAGAAAGTTTTCAGCCATTATTTCTTGAATAAATTTTCAGATCTTTTATCTCTCTCTTCTTCTGGGAATCCAAAAATTTACATATTGGTCCCTTGATGGTATCCACGAACACCCTAAAGCTTTCTTCATTCTTTTATATTCTGTTTTCTTTTTAATCCTCTGACTTAATTATTTCCAATGATCTGTCTTTGAGTTCACTGATCCTTTCTTCTCTTTGATCTAGTGTAATGTTGGGCGAGAAGACACAACCCACAGCTGCCTGCTTCTTTCTGGGAAAGGAAATGTTGGAAGAGGACTTGTAGAAGTCAAATGGACTTTTTTTTTCTTTTTGGTACAATTAATATGTTCTTGAGCTCCATGGTTTCCGTATCGTACTTTTTAATATTTTCTATCTCTTTGTTGAATTTCTCACTTTGTTCATGCATTGTTCTCTTGACCCTAGTGAGCATCTTTATGACAATTATTTTGAATTTTCTTTCAGGCAAATCATGTTACTCCATTTCTTTAGGGTCAGTTTCTGGAGACTTACTTTCCTTTTTATTTTTATTTTTTGGAACATCTTTGCTTGACTCTTGATTTTCTTTGACTCTCTCCATTGATGCCTATATGTTAAACAAAGCAGGCACCTCTCCAAATCTTCATGGACTGGCCTCATACAGGAGAAAACTTTTACCAAGAAGCCAGGCTACAACTTCTAGAGTCCTCTTCCAACATTTCTTTCCCCAGAGAGAAGCAGGCAGCTATGGGTTTTGTCTGCTTGCCCTGTAATGAGCAGGGGGGCATTATTCTATGGTGCTTACTAGCCCAAGTCACTGCCTCCCTTCTTCCCTAGGTAGATAGGCTGTGCTGATCTTGAGCTCAAAGACTGGCAAGATAGAAGTCAGTCCTCTGGAGAGCCCTCTCAGAAAAGTTGGGGGTTTGGATGTACAAACCGACTCCTTCCTCCCTTGGGAGAAACTGAGAATTAGGAGTTTCTTTTTGATCATAAGGTGCTGTGTCAACAGTAAGAATTCTGGTAGAGGGTATCCCAAACCTCTCTACTGGGTTTGGTCAGTCTAGTTTTGCATTTTTCTGGGGTGCAGGGCATTTTATTAGTTCCTGGATTTTTCACAAATTGTTGCTGAATCTGTATTTGCAAGGGGAGAGAGGGTTCAGAGTTTCTTACTCTGCTATCTTGCTGATGTCACTAATCCAATTATGTATTATTCCTGAATTATTTTTAAGTGGCAAAGTACTTGTCAATGAAGAATGGGTTAATGTATATCTCAAACTTAATTCCACTCCCTTTAAGACACCTATATCCAGATCCACACTCTAAATGTTGTCATAACTCCTAACTCTTATTGAATTTTTATTGTCTGTTGTTATTCTTTGTTAGTTAATCTACAATGCTATTTTTACCTCATTGAAGCCTTGAGTTCATTGGCTCACTCTTTTTATCCTAATTTACAACAACTAATTTCTTTACTTATCCATGATTCACTTGCCAATAATCACAACTTTATTGCTCAATTGACCCTATTTATATTGAAAAATACCAGCTCAAAATTGATTCAAA